ACAATCCCATTATATTTTACTCTCTGAGTATAAAATGGAAAGATTGCCTGTCAAAGAATCACAAGGTAGAATGTTCTTTTCCATAAATGTTGAGAGCCTCAAGAATGTTAGACATTACACAGTTAAAACATTTGAAACCCGGAGTGGCGGCTCATATCTATAATTCTAGCACTCTAGAGGCAGAAGCAGGTGGAGGCCAACCTGGGCCACAGCATAAGACCTTGTCTCAAAAACAAAACAAAACACCCCAAAATAATCCTATGCCCAGAAATCAAAACAACAAACGAGAGAAATCGACCTGTAATCTGTTATTTTAGAATTCTGATTTCTAATTGCTGTACAAACAACTCCCTGCTGGAAGTTCGGTGACGACTCAATCTGAACCCTCATGAGAAGGGGTGAGCACAGTAACTACACCCCATCCTCCCAGAGCCATCCTGAAAAAACTAAAATTTCCTCTGGCAGTGGTGGTGCGTGCCTTTAATCCCAGCACTAAGGAGGCAGATCTCTGTGAGTTTACTACACAGAGAAACTCTGTCTCAAAAAAACAAAACAACAACAACAAAAAAACAAAAAGCTAAAATTAAAACTTTTTTTTTTTTTTTGAGACAGGGTTTCTCTGAGTAACAGTTCTGGCTGTCCTGGAATTAGTTCTGTAGATCAGGCTGACCTCAAACTCAAGAGATCCACCTGCCTCTGCCTCCCGAGTGCTATTGAAGGTGTGCACCACCACTGCCTGAAGTTTTTTGCATTTTTTAGAAGTTAAAAAAAGTAAAAGAACAAAACACATTTCATAAGATGAAAAGCACATGCAAGTCAAATGTCAATGTGCACGAATAAAACTTTATTACAACACTCACGTAGACACATTTGTTTACATATAGTCTGGTGGATTCTGTTAAAGGAACAGAACAGTTGAGAAACTCTTGGTTGACTTAGGCACACACACAAAAAACGAAGACACTTACGATCTGGGCTTTAACAGAAATTTTGCTCATCTGCTGTATAGGGTTTACACATTCATGCCCAATTTTTACATGAGCCACCCCCTCCCCATGTTTCTGAAAAAATTTAAAAAGTTTTCCCCCCAAAAAGAACACTAAGTTGACATCTTACCCCTTGGGATGATCTGAACCCTTGGCTTACTGTTCCGGAGACCCGATGGTGCAGCTGAAGGAAGTACACTGGTTGGTTACCCAAGTGCTGAAGCTGGTCTCTGTACACAACTTGTTCCTCTGTTATTTATCTTGACTGCATAATAGGCTGACTTTCACACTATGAGTTCGTCCAGGCTCCTTGAATCATTAAGAGGGTCTTTCATTTTTTACTTTTAAACTCTTAACACTTTCTGCTGTGAATTCTTTTTAACATAAAACTACGACTTAACGGCTTATATATGTAAAATAAAGTTCACTTTTTTTTCCTTTTAAGCAATCAGTTTTTTTTTTAATGCTTTCTCTTGAGAAGCTAAATTTAAATTTTGCAGCTCACAGAAGAACATCTCTTCATATCCAGTGATCTCAGAGTCCCTCTGGTAAGATAAAGAATGTGCGCTTATTTTTAAATACTATTTCTTGGAGAAAATATTACTTAATGGAAAAGATGTGACTAGTAACAAATCAAGTCCAAGGCTCTTCCTGGTTCTGCCTATGACTCACTTTCACTTTGGGCGAAGCATCTCACCACTGTTGCTCTTCATCTGCAAAAACTGGACTTCATGCCTATGGGAGTTGCATGGTTAATCAATGCCTGGAAAATGCGTAGTGGCAGATGCTACAGAAGTGCTGAGCCTTAAAAACCAAACCACCCCCAGCCCCCATTTGTATTCCGTCGAGGTTGAGGTTTATTGTTATTTAACAGAGGAAAGCTAACACTACGTTAAGTTCAGCATGCAGCTCAGAAGAGAGATCAGTGTCCAGATGGGATTTTTTTAAAGAGCTAGGATATTTTACTTTTTTTTTTTTTAAATTGTGGTTGGGGGTTATTTTACAACCCAACAATTCACCCGTGCAAAAGTATTAAGTTTTAAGTTGAAAACTATTGATTTAATAATTTAAATGAACCTCCTCAAAGATTAAAAAAAAAAGAGGCCCTCCCCGCCCCGCCAAGAAATCTCTGAAAACAAGAATTCTTCTGATGTCGCCCACCCCCTGCAGTTCTCCATGTTACAGTCCTTGGAGGTGGACCAGGCATAAAATACTTTCACTAATAAAATATGACAAACCGCCGGATTATACGTGGCCGATTCCCAGTGACTGCCCTGCTACACAAAGCAGAAAAGTAAATGCCATCATCCCCCTTAGAACAAAAGAACTTAGGAATAAAAAACATGGAGAGGGGGGCAGAAAGCAGCAATAAATAAAGGTGAGCGAAGAACCCCGTCCCCCGCCCCTCCCCGGAGCTAGTGTGGGACTCCGCGCGGCTAATAAAGTGGTTCAAGGGTAGTTATTTGCAAAGGGGGCGGGGTGGCCGGGGATTGCATGTTGCATTCGACTTGAGCTTGCATCTTCTCCTGTTGCCTGGACCACTCGCTCCCCCATTGCAGTGCTTCCTCCTCGCTTCTGCCTTCTTTCCACCCCCACCCCTGCAAACTGCTGTTGCACTGGTGGGAGTTGGGGCTGCTCGGGAGCCCCCTAGCAGCTCCCGACGGCGGGAGGGGACCGGGGCTCGGGCCTGGCCGGGCTGCGGCGCGGCGACGGGCCGGGAGTTTGGCGGCCGCTCGGCCCCAGCGCCGCCGCCGCTGCACCGGAGTTTGGCTGCTGCTGCCCTACTTCACTCTAGTTTAGTTTCACTCACTTTACATCCGGGTTTTTTCCCTAGGCAATGGGTGCCGCAGCACACCCCGTTCCTTAGGCAAAGTGAAATAAATTCGCCGCACCGACACGTCAAGTAGTCCGCCCGCCCGAGCGCCGCCGCGGGCCCCCGCCGCCGCCCCGTGCCCCCGTGGGGTCCCCCGCGCCTCCCGCCAGCCACGGGCTCACACGCAGGGGCGCGGGGCGGCCGGGGCCCGGCGCGGTCCAGCTCCGCCCGGCCCCCGCCCGCCTGCCCGTTCTCCCTCGTCCCCGCTTCCCCAGCCCCAGTCCCTCTCGCCCGGCTCTCGGGAGCGGCGGGGGCGCGCACGGCGGCGGCGGCGGGCCGGCGGGGCCGCGCGGCGGGCTCCCGCGCGGGCGAGTGTGTCTGGGCCTGGGCGGAGGGATCCCCGGGCTGAGGCGGCGGAGGTGCTGCGGCCCGGGGCCGGGTGGTGAATGGGCTGGTGGTGCTTGCTGCTGCTGCTGAGAGGAGGAGGAGGAGGATGAAGAGTTGGGCTTGTTTGTCTCCCACAGTTTCTCTCCTGCTGCTCTGATTCCTCCCTCCCCATTCCGGTCCGGGGGCCTGTGTGTGTCTCTCCTGGAGGAGGAGGAGGCTCCAGTTCCTCCCCCCCACCCCCTCCTCCCCACCCCCCCTTGCCTGGGGAAGAGGAGGAAAGAAACAGCCCAGAGAGAGAGAGACAGAGAGAGAGAGAGAGAGAGAGAGAGAGAGAGAGAGAGAGAGAGAGAGAGAGAGAGAGAGAGAGAGAGAGAGGAGAGAGAGTGAGTGAGTGAGAGCGGAGAGGAGGAGGAGGAGGGAGAAGGGAACAACCTACCATCTTAACACACTAATATCTAAAAAGTGCGAGAGGCCCAGAGCAGCAGCAGAAGCAGCAGCAGCAGCTCCAGCCTCTTCCCTCCCTCCCCATGAAGAAGAGTTCCCTCCTCCTCCTCCTCCTGCTTCTCCTGCTCAGAGTTCCTGCCTCCAGCTGCCAGGGGGGACAGCCAGCCAGCAGCAGGAGGGTGCAGTATCCCAGCTTTTCCATTCTCTCTTTTCCTCACTCTCCTCTCTCTTTTTTTTTCTTGAGTAGCTCTATTTCCCTTCCCTCCCCCCTCCCTCTGTCTTGTCTCTGGTGTTTGTCTCTGGGAAGGAGCAGGGGCTGCTTGCTTGGAGTTTGTTGTGGGGGGAGGTAGGGGGAGGGGAGGGGTGTGTGGGAGGGAGGAGGGAAAGGGGGTGTTCTCGTCAGGACCCCTCAGTCAACTTGAGATTTCAGCAATAACTTCCCCTTCGGGGCGGCCCCCTGCGTGCCCTTTTCCTATTCCTCCCCCCCCCCAGGAAAAAAAAAAGACAATGGGAATACCTCGTCTCCCCCCTTCCTCCCCTCTGCCCTCCACCCCTCCCTAGGATAGATTGGAAGTAAGTTTATGAGCAGCCTCGGGAGCCTGGGCGCTGAGTGCAGGGCCGGAGCGGGTGACAGGGGCGGCGCGTCGGGGGTGGCGGCGAGGGGGGCGACACAGCGTCCCGGCAGGGGGTCGAGCTGGGGGGGGGCGGGCCGAGCCCCCCCCCGCGAGTGCCTGCGGCCGGGGGATGGCCGCCTGGGCCCCTTCCCCACCCCCACACCCCGGGATGCTGTCGGGGGGAAGTTTTTATTATGGTTATTTAATTTAAAATTTTTTAAAATTTTTTTTGGAAAACCATCTTGTTTGATGACTGAGAGATCTGGTTTAAAAAAAAAGAAAAAGAAAAAGCTGCGGCTGCTGACGCTGCCGGGCCCGAGTGTGTGTGAGTGAGTGTGTGTTGGTGCATTTGTCTTGGGTGGCCGGAGCAGCGTTGGGGAAATTCCGCTTATTCTTCTTCTTCGGCAACTTGTTATTCCGTGGAGTCCGCCTGCACCCCTCACCCCGGGGCGGCCCTCCCGCCGTCGCCGCCGGCCCGCCGCCCCGGGACCCCGCGCGGGCCGGGGACTCACAGGCCCCTCAGAGAGGGGCCGCGGCCGCCCCTCCCCCCGGGCCGCGGGGGGAGGGGCGCGCGGAGTGGGACTCTTTCCGTTTGGTCCAGCCCCGCGGTGCACGCAGTTCCCAACACTTCTCGTCATCCTCTCTCTGCTCTCTTTATTCTGCTGAGCGGTGCTGTTAGGATTTCTTTCTCTCTCCCCCCCCCCCACCTCCTCCTCCTCTCTTGACCACGCTCGCAATGGTGGGTAGCTGCAAGGTGGCCCTGGCAGGGGAGGGGTTTGATGTGGACATTGGGGCACCGGGCGAAAAAGGTCTCCTTTCAACTTTGTCTTGTGGCTTGCACCCCGGGAGGAGGCCACATGCCGATTGTGGGGTGTAGATGTGCTGGGAGTGATTTCTAAGTAGTTTAGTTGTTGAGATAGGGTACGGCGGCTAATGGTAGGCAGGTTTTGTTTTCATGGGTGAATCCGGTGTCATCATATTCCGGTCATATGTTGAAATATTCTTTGTTTAGGTCTTGAAGTAGAGGATCTCCCTCTGCACGTCCACATTGTGTTGTTTTTGAATGATGTCTTCGGGAGTGTGGATTTCTAGAATCTCAAATGTGATTTTTAAGATTTCGGCATGTGTGGGCCTCAGCACTGGCCTTGACAGTGAACTTTGTGGCTTTTTTTTTTTTTTTTTTAACTTCTAAGATTTTACTCCATAACTGGGATGCTAGTTATGCTTGATGGTAGTATCAGGAATGTAGAGTCTTGAGCTGAGGAAGTTAGAGAGGGAAGGGCATTTATTTATTAATAATTAATAGCTCAATGTTAGAATCAGATTCATTTGCACTGGTTGAAGGTTTTTTCCTCCCTTTTTCCTTTAAAGCAGTTGTGCACTCTAGGAAGGAAGCCTTTTGGCAGACACTCTTTATGGTGGCTTTTTGGGGGCATGAAGTGGGGGGGGGTATCGCCTTTTACAGAGATCTCTTCAGCATCATCTGTAGCTTTATTGAGGGCCTCTTCGGGGGGGGGGCTCAAATTGAGGCTAAGAAGTGTAAGGCTACTTTTTGTTCCTTGTTTACATTTCATGTCTCGCATTGGGGCAGTGGAAATAAATAGGTCAGCCCCCTCCCCCTTTTCAAAGTTTTACCATCTACTTGGTTTACAGCCTTGTAGGAAAGCCTTACTGAGATTTTCCTGGGAATACTGTTACTCCTTTTAATTTCGGTAAGTTCCTTTCTATTTTCTTCTCTCTTCGCTTGTGTATCTGTTGTGAGCTTAACTCTAGCTTACTGAGGGCCATTTTACATGTCTTAGAGTACATTTTAAAAAAATTCAGGACATGTTTTGGTGGCAGAGAAGAATGTTGAGTGTAGTAATGTACATGTTTATTAAATTTTAAGTACTCAACTCCTCAGTATGTGTACTGCCGTCCTTAACGTGAAGATTCTGGGAATAGTGCAGGACATTTTGAAAGCACAAGCCTCTGACTGAAGCTACCCCAGGGGCTTTGAGACTTCCGATGTCGGACACAACAATGTGCACCTTTTGACCAACGTTATGTGCTTGCCTGTTCTGAAAATCTTTCTCTTTTCTTTTTTCTTAAGTGCTATTGAAGACATTTTCAACTTGAGATTTTAGTTGGCTTCACATTATTAAAGTGCTCAGACTTCAGACTCAGGCAAATCCGTATAGAGCTGGGAGAATAACACACTGAAAAGACACCTGCTGGGGCCATACTTTATTTTACAGGGATGTAAGTCATGGATGGGCTGCTATTTATTTCCTTTGGCCTTCATTGGCCAACGCTTGTTCCTCTTCTGTTTTCTGGAAGAAGCTGCTTCAGAAACATCCTTGTGTTTACACGAAGATTTCTGGTGCTATCCAGTAGGAGGCGCTACAAAAGTCAAAGGCAATCTCTAATTTTAAGGGTCTTGCTACTTACTGAAAGTCCCTTAGCTTATGAACAACAGGAGTAAAAGTCTGTTCTAAAATACTATTAATAGCCTTTGTTATTTGAAATGGCTTTTTACCTGCCTATTATACTATGCAGAATAAGTTTATTATTGTGGATGCTGGGGTTAAGAGTAAGGTGCTGTTAGGTGTGGAGTGTAAAACATAATTTGAAAAAAATCTTTTCAAGTTGCAGTAAGCAAAAATAAGTGGCATGATGTAGGTCTTTAGTTCTTATAAGTATGATATTAGTATAAATAGGATATGCAGACATTGTTGGAAAAAAATGGATATTGTGTAGGGGAAGAATCATTTTTCTTGGGTTTTTTCCTCCCTCTCCCTGAATCTATGGACAGTGATTCTAATCTAGATGCCTTCTTAGACATTCAAGTTTATAGATACAGTTGCTATATATAATATAAATATATATTTTGGTGTTTTGTTTGTTTGTTGTTTTTGTTTTTTGAGACAGGGTTTCTCTGTAGCCTGTCCTGGAATTCACTCTGTAGACCAGGCTGGCCTCGAACTCACAGAGATCCTCCTGTCTCTGCCTCTTGAATGCTGGGGATTAAAGGCATGCCACCACCGCCTGCTACAGTTGCTATATTTAAGCTGGCCTTCAAAGACTGATTTTTTTTTTAAACTATGTGAAATTAAGTGGCGTGCTCTGTAATTCCAGTACTTGGCCTGTAATCCTAGTAGGCTTTTAAGTGGGCACTTTAAAAGTCAATGGCAGCCTGGCCTATATTATAAGACTTTGTCTCAAGAAAAATAAACTTGAAGAAAAGTTACACCTGTGGGAGTATATCTTTGTTGGCCTGTCTATTAGTAACTTTTATCAATGCCTGCAGAAGGATAAAGTAGCCACTTTAACATTTTCCTGGCATTCACAGTACATGGTCTTTTGAAATTCTTAGTGTTAGATGAATTGAGTCAAAATAAGCTACTGTGATTGCTTGTAAAGTTTTGTATCAAAGTTTTGAAACTTAGAAACACATAGAAAATTTGATGGACCTGCTTTCAGTTTTGTACATTTACTATTGTATTTTTTTTTCAGCAAGATCAAATTAAATAGTACATGTGAAAGTTCTTTGTACATTGTCAGAAGCCATGTAGACATTGTTGATGAGCTAGATAACAGGTTCAGATACAAGCAAAATTCTGCTTTAAAATGCTAAGTTCTTCCTTATCAGTTAGGGAATTAATTCATTAAAAGTACATGCTAGATATTATGTATTTTGTTTTTAAAATATTGCCCTGTTGGCCGAGCGGTGGTGGTGCACACCTTTAATCCCAGCACTTGGGAGGCAGAGGTAGGTGGATCTCTGTGAGTTCGAGACCAGCCTGGTCTACAAGAGCTAGTTCCAGGACAGGCTTCAAAGCTACAGAGAAACCCTGTCTCGAAAAACCAAAAAAAAAAAAAAAAAAAATTGCACTGTTACCCAAATCTCTGCTACACTTTTGAAGCTTTGTTTAAAAAAGAATGCCTGTGAGATGGTGGCATAGGACTTTAATCCCAGCACTAAGGGAGGCAGAGACAGGCCGATCTCTGTGAGTTCAAGGCCAGCCTGGTCTACAGAGTGAGTCCCAGAACAGAAACCCAGTCTTGAAAACGCAAAACATTAAAAAAAAAAAAAAAG